ATGGAGAGATTACTCAAGCCTTAATTATATCGTGAGGGGCTATAGGGTCAAGGTTATCTTACTCACTTATGAACACGGTTTTTCCAAATCACACACTATAAGGTGTTATACCCAAGACAACTCTACCTAAACTCTAGTAGGCCAGAGGGTTAAGTGTAACAGACCTGAATTTTACCATAAATTTTTTACAAAAGAAAACCTCCCCCTTTATTTTTATAATAAACGTTTTTCTTAAAAATGTACCTGTCCAAACAAAGTGACATCAAGATTAACAATCATCACTGGACTTAGGGCAAATGAGGCTTAATAATAATTTGCAGCAAGTCCAGGGTTCAACAATAGTTTATAGATATAATCAACTCGACTAAATACACATTTTTCTTATACTATTAATATATACAATCCAAACAAATGAGCTTAGCCTAATAGAAACCATAGTCTAGATTGATGTGTTAAAGTTATCTAGTTTAAACAAAAAGGTTGAGTAGTTATAATCAAATAACCTATAACAATTATTCAAATAAAATTTATAAGGGTTCCTAGGTCACGGCAATTATAATTACAAAATAAACAGAAAATCACGTGCCAAGTTGAGAGATGGGAGCCTAAGCTTACTTATTCGGTGCCATCCCTGTAGCTCCACTTGACCACTTACCTAAAAATGATAAGAAGTAACATTGAGATTAAAAATCTCAATAACAGTTGATTATTCTAACATATACAACATACTTCTTGAATCAGTTCGCAAACATATCCGTGGATATACATATGCATTTTACAATCAATACACAACAAAAAATGTAATATTCACAATTTTATAACAATTTCTAAATTAATGTCAAATTAAAACAATAGTGATACATTTTCTAACCTCACCCTTATGACTCCTAACTCCCTTATTATTGCTAGCTGGAGTCTAAACTAAGGTTATACCTGGCTAAAGGTATATTGCCATCAAAATAGGACTCCCTTCCTTAAAAAAGGGGTGCCCATCGTCCCAAAATGTCAAAGACATTGGGAACTAGAAGAAAAGGCCAACACTACGCACATGGAGGCAAACCACGCGGCATAATATTAATCATTACTCTCAAAACAATCGTATTACTAACCATCCGTATTACCTCTTTTACATCACGTAAAACAATGTCACATTCATAATAGGATCACACAAGTATTAATATATATATATATACACACACAACACAAAATACTAAAAACCAATATCTTAATATAATGAAAGGATATTCCAATGTTACATCTTCTCCAAACTATAACTAACTCAGACGTATAGGGAGCTTCTTAACCACGATAACAGATTAATCTACGACATCGAATGATATAAATACCATTAGAGATATATATATATAATATTTGGTAATTTATTGATAAATATAAAATTAACTAACTAAACTTCTCAATTTATAATCATATCCTTCCAATCTAAATCCCTCTAAGAAAACCTAAAAATTAAATTAAATTAACTTATCTAAATCCTGAAAACATAATTTAATCGATATAGATATCCTATACAATCAAAATCACAAATTTTATCTTAATTTTAAACTCTCAATCAATTAATAAAACAAATCTAAACTAATAGAATTTAAGTACTAATTTATCTCTACTAATTAATAGTTTGTCGTTGTTAAAAGTCAAGACTTACTCTAAGTGTAAACTTTAGAATTTGTTTTACTCATCAAATTTTACTATTATTAGAAAGCTCTGATGAATAAAAAAAATATTTATAAAAGAAAGTTTTGAAAATAAAATAGTTTTGAGCATAAATCTCTTACCATTAAAATCCTTCAACTCTCTCCTCTCTCTCTCTCTCTCTCTCTCTCTTGTGTACAAGTGAGCAAGGGAAAGCAAATTTGACAATTTATATACTACTCCCTCTTCCTCCTCCTCTCTTCTCTCTTCTTGTTAATAAGGGAAAGCAAATTTGACAATTTATATACTCCCCTCTTTCCACCGCCTCACTTCTAATATTATTATTAATATATATATATATATATATATTGGTTCTCCTTATACCATCGCCCCTACTTCTCATTTATTATTATTATATTATTATTATAAACTTAACACTTAAGTTAACAAGCCTTAAACCCTTTTTTTTAATTCCATTTTTTAAAAAAAACACATCTTAACATAAAATTATATTCTATGTTAAACTAAAAAAAATCTTCTAATTAATTTATTTAACTTCAAACATTCTTTCTATTTTTTTTATTAATTCTAATTAACTCTAAAAATTAAAGTAGAATGTTATAATTCTCCCATCCTTTAAGAAAGTTTGTCCCCAAAATTTAATCTACCTATAAATATATGTACATTATGAATGTTAGTCATAGATTAACCTACCTATCTGAATAAGTAAGGATAGTCTTGTTTCATTTTTTTCTTCTGTCTCCCAAGTTGCATCACTGAGTGTCATACCCTTCCATACCACCTTAACCAATTTGATGGTCTTGTTCCTCAATTGCTTATCTTTAATATCCATTATTTGCTCTGGCTCTACCCTATAAGTCATGTTCTCCCTCAACTCAACCTCATCTAGTTCAATAATATGAGATGGGTTAGGGTAATACTTCTTTAATTGAGACACATGGAAGACATCATGAACTCCATAAAGCTGTGGTGGAAGGCTACATGGTAGGCAACTAGTCCAAATCGCTCCAATACTTCATAAGGGCCCATGAATCGCGGTGTTAATTTCTTCACCTTAATTGCTCTACCAATACCAATCATTAGCGTTACCCTCAAAAAAACATGTTCCCCAACAAGAAATTCCAACGGTCACCTTCGTTTATCTGCATAGCTCTTTTGTTTACTTTGCATCGTTAACAACCTTTGTCTAATCATCTCGATCTTCCTGGTGGTTTGATCTACCAAGGTGGGACCCAACAAAGTTCTCTAACTTAGCTCTGTCCAACAAAGAGGAGGTTGACACTTTCTCCCATATAAAGCTTCATATAGAGCCATTTGAAATGCTCAAATGATAACTATTATTATAAGCAAACTTGACTAATGGTAAGTGATTGTCCTAGCTACCTCTTAATTCAATAACACATGCCCTTAACAATGTCTAAACAGTCCTTTTAGTCTGTCCATCTGTTTGAGGGTGGTAAGCTGTACTGAATTATAGCCTAGTCCCTATTGCATCTTGCAATGCCTTCCAAAATCATGAAGTAAAACGAGGATCTCTATCTAATACTATACTTTTTGGCACTCCATATAATCTCACTACTCCTTTAATATAAATCTCTACTAGCTTCTCTAGTGAATGAGTCATCTGAACAGCCAGGAAATGAGCAGATTTAGTTAACCGATCCAAGTTACCCAGATTGCATCATTTCTAATTGAAGTCTTTAGTAATCCTGTGATAAAATCCATATATATGCTATCTCATTTCTACTTAGGTATATTCAGTGGCTGTAACAAACCAGTAGGCTTTTAAAGCTCAATCTCAACTCTCTGACATGTCAAGCAATGGGTAACAAATTCAGTTACATCTTTCTTCATTCCTGGCCACTAGTAATTCCTCCGAAGGTCATGATACATTTTGGTTGCCCCAGGATGAATTGTGTATTTACTTTGATGAGCCTCCATCAACATGAATTTTTAGAGTTGATCATCATTAGGAATATAAACCTTTCCATTGTACCTCAATATACCATCATCCTAAACTTTAAAATCATTTGGTTCACCTTCTTCAAGTCTCTCCCTTAACCCCAACTAGTGTTCATCCTCTAGCTATAAAATTTTCAAATCCTTCTAGAACTTATTTTCAATTTTTACCATGCTCACACAAGTCAATCTCTTAGACGAGACCTCCACTGGGATGTCCATTAGCAAGTATGCCACGTGTGTGGATTTCCTACTTAATGCATCTGCCACCATATTTGCTTTCCTAAGATGATATTTCAATTCAAAGTCATAATATTTGAGGAACTCAATCCACCTCCTTTGACACATGTTCAGCTCCTTCTAATCTATAAGGTATTTTAGGCTCTTGTGGTTGCTATAGACCTCAAATTTTGAGCCATATAAATAGTGTCTCTAGATTTTCAAAGCAAACACCACTGTTGCTAATTCCATGTCATGAGTAGGATAATTTTCTTCATAGGGCCTTAATTGTCTGGAGGCATAAGCAACCACTCGTCCTCTCTGCATTAACACACATCCAACCCTTTTTAAGAAGGCATCGGTGCATATAGTATAAGGTCGGGTAGGATTTAGGATTACTAGTACTGGAGTAGTTGTCAACTTGTTCTTCAACTCTTGGAATGCTATTTCACATTTACCATTCCATATGAACAGTTAGTCCTTCTTAGTTAGTTTGGTTAATGGCATAGCAATTTGGGAAAAGTCCTGAATAAATTGCCAGTAATAGCCAGCCAAACCTAAAAAACTTCTTATCTCAGTGACATTTTGTGATCTCTCTCACTTGGTTATTGCCTCAATTTTACTCGGGTCTACTACCACACCTTCTGCTGATACAACGTGTCCTAAAAATCTAACCTCATGGAGCCAAAATTCATACTTTGATAACTTTGCATAAAGCTTATGTTTCCTTAGAACTTGTAATATGACTCTAAGATGCTCCTTATGCTCTTCCTTTTTTTAGAATAAATAAGGATGTCATCTATGAAAACTACTACAAACCTGTCTAGATATGGCTTGAAAATCCAATTCATATAGTCCATAAAGACTAAAAGTGCATTAGTAAGCCCAATCGACATTACCAAGAACTCATGATGTCCGTATCTAATTCTGAATGAAGTTTTTAGCATATCTTCTGCCCTAACCCTTAATTGATGATATCTATATCGTAGATCAATCTTAGAAAATACCGCTGCACTAGTTAACTGATCAAGTAGGTCATTAATTAATGGTTGAGGGTATTTGTTCTTAATTGTGACCTTATTGAGCTGTCTGTAATTAATACATAGCCTCAAACTACCATCTTTCTTCTTAACAAATAATACCAGGGACCCTCAAGGAGACACACTCAGTCTGATGAATCCTTTCTCCATTAACTCCTCAATCTGCTTTTTCAACTCAACCAACTCTGAGGGTGACATTCGATAAGGAGCCTTAGAGATAGGCTCTGTCTCAAGTGCTAAGTCAATAAAGAACTCTACTTCCCATTTTGGTGGCAAGCTAATTATATCCTTAGGAAAAACATTTGGGAACTCTTGTACCACGTCAATGAATTCTAGCCCTTCTTCTATATCCATACTGATATAAAAGAAAATAGCAAACGCTTGACACCTTTTTCTAATACACATATCCACCTGAGCAGCCGACAATAATTGGGGTTTACCAGATGTAACCATTGAAGCAATGAACACAGGCAGGGACATGATTGTCTTTTTACAATCTAAAATGGCATTATTCGTTGAAAGCCAATCCATTCCAACAATCAGATCAATACCCTTCATGGGAAGATAAATCAGATCCATGGTAGAAGTTCTATTCTCAAACTCTACCACACAATTCAAACAAGATTTTGATGTCACAACAACAATACCAGATGATGTAGAAACTCTTACACTATAAGGTAGATCATACACATTCAAGTTAAATTTCTCCACATAATCATGTGATACAAAAGAATGGGTTGCCCTAGCATCAAATAAAGTAATAAAGTTATGCCTATTAAGTTTTAAATTACCTCGAATTAAGTTTGGGAAGGCATCAGCCTCCTACTGAATCATAGCAAAGACTCAACTAAGAATAGTAGATCTAGCCTCACTAGATGAAACATTGACCTTGATGGAGCCTCCCACACTTGGTATACCTTTGACTATTAGTAGTGCTAACTGTAGGGGTTGTGGAACCTCTTTGTAAGCTCTGGCCTCTATTTTGACTGCTACCATGTCCACTACTATACCCACTTCTCCGTCCTCCATTGGATCTCCCTTTCTAAGTGAACCTTGATCTACTACTGGAGCTACTGGAGTACCCGCTCCTCTTATTGATTTCGCTTGTAGGCCTTATGAATTGATTAGGCCTGAAAGAGGTATCCTTTTTATAAGCTATCTCTCCTCTCTCTTCTTTCGAGCCACAATACCCAATTTAGTACACATCTCCTCTATAGTGTAAATCTCTAGAGGAGCTAAAGCAATCCTCAATTTTGGTTGTGCCTTTTCTAGCAACCTAGTCACTTTCCAGTGAGAGTCATGTGCCCCATTTGTATACTGCACTAGCTTATTAAAACGAGCTATAAAATCTTCCTCATTCATATTTTCTTACTATAAGGCATAGAATTCAACCTCTTTTTCAGCTCTCAAAGCAGTTGGAACATAGTACTTGAAGAATTGCTCCTTAAATTCATCCCAAGTCATAAACCTATCCTCAATTGGACAAATGCCATCCCACCATTTCTTAGCTGCCTTTTGCAACAACTGCTCAGCCATCATTACTCTTTGTTTAGAAGTATAAACTACAACTCAAAAAATCATTTCCAACTGGTTTATCCACTCTTTAGCCTCAGCTACATTAAGCCTCCCTTCAAAAGCTGGTAGATTAAATTTTTTGAAACTTTCCCAAATCTTTGTGATTTGTGATAGTAAGAGCTCTTAAGAAGGATTTTCACTACTACTCACTCTTGTATTAATAGGAATTGCCTATGAATGTTGCTCACTCTGCCTTTCCTCCTTGCCAAAATCCTCCTCTCTCCTTAGCTGAGTAGTCTCACACCTATCGCTATTCCTCAGGTTTTTAATTTCATCTTCATTTCTTTTAACTCAACGATCAATATTAACAAGTAAATCCCTCATTTCCTTCAGAAGTGCCCCATTATCATCATTTGGGGGCAGTCCAGGAATATTATTTTCTCCGCTGGTCATAACTGTTTCCCTCTCCTTTTGTCAAATATCATAATAAGAACCATTTTTAACAAATATTGTAAAATTAGTATAATCTAAACAAGTCCTATTGAACAGGGAAGTGCATGTGTTTTATAGTTGCCATGACTACTAAGTGAAAATTTTAAGATGCGATCATGCCATAAAACACATAGCTCTGATACCAAAAATGTAACAGACCTGATTTTTACCATAATTTTTTTTACAAAAGAAAACCTCCCCCCTTTTATTTTTATAAATAAACATTTTTCTTAAAAATGTACTTGTCTAAAGAAAGCGGCATCAAGATTAACAATTACCATTGGGCTTAGGGAAGATGAGGCACAATAAATAATTTGCAGCAAGTTTAGGGTTTAACAATAGTTTATAGATATAATTAACTCTACTAAACACATATTTTTCTTATATCATTAATATGTACAATCCAAAATAAATGGACTTGGCCCAATAGAAAACCATGGTCCAGATTGACGTGTTTAAAAGTTATCCAGCTTAAACAAAAAAATTAAGTAGTTATAGTTAAATAACCTATAACAATTATCCAAAATAAAATTTATAAGGGTCCTTAGGTTATGGCGACTATAATTACAAAATAAACAGAAAACCACATGCCAAGCCAAGAGAAACTATAACTCCACTTGACTGCTCACCTAAAAATGATAAGAAGTAACATGTGAGATTAAAAATCTCAGTAATAGTTAGTTATTCTAATATATACCAACATGCTTCTTGAAATTAGTTTACAAACATATCCATGGATATACATATGCATTTCATAATCAATACACAAAACAAGAAATGCAATATTCACAATTTTATAATAATTTCTAAATCAATATCAAATTAAAACAACAGTGATACATTTCCTAACCTCACCCTTATGGCTGCCAACTCCCTTATTATCGCTAGCTGGAGCCTAAATTGAGGTTATATCCGGCCAAAAGTACATTGCCATTAGAATAGGACTCTCCTCCTTAAAAAAGGGGTGCCCATCATCCTAAAATGTCAAAAATATTAGGAATTACAAGAAAAGGCCAACCACTACGTGCACAGTGGAGGCAAACCACGCGACATAATATTCAATCATTAATCCCAAACAAACAATCATATTACTAGCCATCCTTATTACCTCTTTTACATCACGTAAAACAAATGTCACATTCTACAATAAGATCACACAAGTATTAATACACACACACACACACAATACTAAAAATTAGTATCTCAATATATAAAATGATATTTCAATGTTACCTCTTCTCCAAGCTATAACTAACTCGGACGTGTATGGAACTTCTTAACCACAATAATAGATTAATTTATGACATCGAATGATATAAATACCATTAGACACACACACACACACACATATTATAATTTATCAATTAAATATAAAATTCAACTAAAATTTTAAAATTTATAATCATATCCTTTCAATCTAAATCCCTCCGATAAAAATTCAAAATTAAATTAAATTAACTTATCTAAATCCCAAAAACATAATTTAATCAATATAGATATCCTATACATCATAAATCACAAAAATTTTATAGTTAAAAACTTAATTTTAAACTCTCAAATCAGTTAATAGAATAAATCTAAACCGATAAAATTTAAGTACTAATTTATCTCTACTAATTAATAGTTTTTATTGTTAAAAGTCAATACTTATGTCGCAACTGAAAAAATGTGATGAGGATAGCGTGCGAGTAGAGGTCCTGGCCTTCACGGCAGAAATCGAACGGAATGAGGAGACGCCACCAAGATTTTGAGGGAAATCTCAGGAAACCAATTAATGGAGGATAAGGGTGGCCTGTAAAATCAGAGAATATGTTCGAGAGTCGGTTGAGTGTTGGGAAGGTGTTAGGCACCCCACAACACCCGTTCATGAGAATGGTTACCTGAAGTTTATTGTGCTCTATTAATATGATTTTATAATTATTTTAATTATTTCTTTTATATTCATGTGTTTTAAAAATGATAAGAATTAAGTGAAAAATATTTATTTATTTACGAGGGAGGACTTGACTCAGAATCCGACTCTGAGGCTTACGTACCCTATGATGGGGATCAAAGTTCACATAGTTCAGGCTTGAAAGTTATTGGTGAAAATATATTTTTTTACAGATAAATTAATTAAAAATAATTTACCATTTTGCAAATAAAATAATTTCTAAAATTTTAATATGTGTGTTTTAAATTGTAAAAAGTAATTTAATTTTAATTATTTTCTCAATTTTTGAATTTTGAGTTAAAGAAAAGAAAGGGTTTAAAATTATTTTTTATATTTGGTGATTGGAAATTTAATCATAATACCTGCAGAACCTTATTGGTTCATACAGTAATGCAATTGCTCTAAATATCTGCAGAGATTCTGAAATCTCATACCATAAAAGAGTTTATCAACTTAATTTATTTATATTTTAAAATTCTAATAATAATTTATTTAAGCATGTATGTACATGTTTTTTAAAGAATTTTAATCATCATACCTGCAAAGCCTTATTGGCTTATATGGTAATATAATTATCCTAAATATCTACGGAGATTCTAAGATCTCACACGATAAAGGAATTAAATTTAAATACATCATTAATTTAATTAATTTAATATATAATTTATATATAGAAAACTTAATCGTTATATCTACAGAGTCTTATTGATTCATATGATAATATTATTATCTTAAAAGTCTACGAAGATTTAAAAATCTTACTTGACTAAAATATACAATTAGATTACAATTTAAATATGTTAATTTGGTTGATTAATTTTTTTTAAATTGTATTATATGATTATTTACAAAAATTATTTATTTATTATAAAAATTAAAGATTAGTATATCTACGAGGACTTATTATCCTACACGATGATGTGATTAATTTAAGTCTCTACAAAGATTTTTAAAATCTCACATGAGACTTAAATAAATTATTAATTTAGATTATAAAAATAAAGTTAATTTTAATGGTGGCCCTTTAGAACCCATATTAATATAAAAGTTTTGCTCTCATATCTGCAAAACCTTATTGATTTACACGATATGAGATTATCTTGAATAACTATAGAGATTCAAAGTCTCACACGATAAAAAAATTAAATAATATTCACTTTAAATGTATTTTAATGTGTAATTATACAACACGTATTTTTAAATATAGAAATCTTAATCGTTATACTTGCGAAGCCTTGTTGACTCACATGGTAGTACGATTATCTTAAATGTCTACAGAGTTTTAAAAATCTCACATGACCAAAAGATCTTAATTAAAAAATATAATTATAATTTAAATTCATTAATTTAATTAATTAGAAATTATAAAAATGTTTTTTATTTTATTTATAAAATTTATTTACTTATTTACCATATAAATTGTGAATCACAATTTTTGTGAAGATTTATTATCTTACATGATAATGTGATTAATTTAAGTCTCTACGAAAATTCTTGAAATCTCACATGAGACTTAAATATTTATTATAAAGAGAGAATTAATTTTAATAATGAGTCTTTGAAACCCATATAAATACAAGTCGGATTTTCATCTTTGCGAAATTTTATTGATTTACACGGTATGAGATCATTTTAAATGTCTGCAAAAATTCTTAAAATTTCACACGATAAATAAGTAACAAACAAGTATACACTCTATTATTTTTTTGGATCTCAATTACAAAATTCAAAATTCATCCAAAAAAAATGAAACTCCTTTCCATTGGTGACATAATGAGCATGCAAATAAATAAGAAGATAATAAAAACAATCAGTAGCTTTGGCATTTAAAAGAACTAACTTATAAACATACTGATTGCTGATATTTAAAGCAAAATATACTCAAGAGTTTGCGGAGTAAATTAACAACTAGTAAGTTTTGTAACTAAAGAGATCTAAGGTAGAAATCTTATCATTAATTCAGACTACAACCTTCAAAGATCAGGCTGAGAATCAATGCTCTTTGTTGATATATTGAACATCTATTTCTATACTCCCTAGCTAGATACAGGGATCCACTTGCACCTTACTCCATCTTCTTTAACTTATTTGTAGGTAATTTTCCATCCACATTGCTGTTGACAAAACCAAAACCATGACCCCTCTACACTAATTCTTCCAAAGCAACATGTCCACAACTAGGCCACCACTGAGAGAGTTGTACGAGTGCTTTATGATCGCCTTGACCAGTCCAGCACCACAAATAGCTCCCAAGCACCGAGTCACCATATACACCAAAGCTCGAATGAACGTCACCTTCCTGGCCAAGAACAACCTGAATGTAACTGCAGGATTGATGTGGCCACCAGTGACACCGGTGATGCAGTAAATGAGGATGAAGATCATGCCACCAAAGGCCCAAGTGATGCCTAAGAAGCCCACACTATCACAGGAGCCAAGCTGCTTTTTTTGTGGCTGATAACAGTGGCGATGGTGACGTAGAGGAAGAGAAGGATGGTGATGAACTCGACATTTCTTCTTTCTCGAGCTTCCTCGCGCATACTGCGTCTGTGTGTTCTGCTTTTCCTTTACTGGTGCTTTCTATGTCTCCTTCTCT